AACCAATATTATAACCAATATTATAACCAATATTATAACCAATATTATAACCAATCCTATAAGGAAGAATCAAGGTTCACCGGACAGAAAAGTGTAGATTACGAAGAGAGATCTTGTTCTAATAAATTTGGAAATTACTTTGATGCTTTTTGGACAAATAACCAGTACTATCATTATTATCAACAGCCGCCGTTGCAATCTCAAAACCATTTAAATTCATGTGATATTTCTCTACCTTCACCAAAAACCCCGATCCCTGTTGACAACCACAAGGTTATGAAATGCTTCGAACAAAATGAATCCACTCTTAGCAAAGGCAAAGTTAATAATAATGATGTAAAAATGGTTGACACGTTAAAAAAGACCGAGCCTGTTAAAATAACAGAATCTGTAAAGAAAAACAACTTGGAAGAAAAGACCGAGCTTACAGCAAAGGTAGAGCAAACAAATTTAAGAAAGCAAATTAATAATAGATCCCGAGAAAGTGGATTCGAAAAGTATCGCAATTTGGTAAAGAACCGCCACGGTATACCATTTTTTATAGTACGGGAAGATGCTCCTAATCTCTCGGAAATTCAAAGAGTTGCGTTAGAATTACTCTTTTTGTGAAACAATTCTTTGTAATGCTATTATCCCTAGTTGCTTAATTTTTTTGTAAACAGATTAAAAAAAGTGAAAGCTAGTTATGATCACAATCCAATCACATATTTTGTCCATTTTGATTCACTTTCATTGAAAAAAAGCACGACCAAACTAACTTTATTGTGAATAATTATTTGTCGCATGATTACGTCAGAATTCTTTTTAGTAAAAAAAATTTTCGGTTCTTTTGTTATATATTTGGGTACAATGTTTCGGGTATTTACAATAAAAATAATGCCACATTATTGATAATTTATGCAATTCTATTGTTTTCTATTGTTTATTGGCGCAAAATTAACCCACATAATTGATAGAAACCCGTATATCTCAGTTTGAATTTCGGCCTTTCTACGAATATGTTGTATAATACATTAATACATGTACACTACAAACAATGTATACAAACAAACATTTCATTCCCTGAAATTCAAATATGTACTATACATGAGGTATCAAGTTACTTATATAAGTGCGATGTGTAGCTTGGAATTTTCAGATCTGCAATTAGCTTTTTTTTCAAAAAGTTCGAACTTATATTTAATAATCTTTCTAATATTCCAAAAAATATAACCTTTTATTAATTATCTACTTAATTCATCATGACATCCATATCACGAAACAGTGAAATTCACTTTTATAAAGACGGCGATATTGAATTATTAGTCGAAAAAATAATATTTCGAGTTCACAAAAATATTTTAACTCTTTCTTCTCAATTCTTTAATGGAATGTATCAATCTGCTACTCCTTCCATTGAAGATCTAACCGCCATCTCTAATACCGGTGTTTCGATCCCTCGAGTCGAATTACGGGGTGACGCTGCACCCGATGTTGAAAAATTATTATCATTTCTTTATCCAAACACCTATTTCGAAATTAGTTGGAGAGATGTAGCAAATTTATTAAGATTGGCTGATAAATATATCGTGGAAACTCTTACAACTGCTTGTGTTGCATTTCTGAAGCGTTCGTATCAAGAAGAACCGTTACAAGCTTTAAAATTGGCTGAAACATATCAAATTTCTTCTGTTTATAAAGAATCTTCAAAATTGGTATTGGACGATTTCGAAAAATTTTTTTATGAACCTCGAAACTTGGAAGGTTTATCTAGATCAACTCAAAAGAAATTAAAAGTTCAAAGACAACAATACGTTGAAGGGTTGAATAAATTGTATTGTGTAACCGTCGACAGAAGGTTCCCACCCTTGACCGCAGAACATCTTAGAACAAAATTTGAAGAATGTATTAAGGATATTTGTACATTCCCATTTCATTCACCTTCATATGCTTGGATGAAATTGCATCAAGTGGATTGTTCAAAACACTTTGAGTGCAGAGAAGAATTAAGACGATTGAAACCATTTATTCATGAGAAGATTGCTTCATTTTTCGGAGGGGAGTATGAAACTTTAGCGTGGACAATTAAGGCGCCAAATTTCACTGACCTGTCATATCCGTTTATTGAATTAAGGGACGACTAAAATTGTGATTGAAATTAGGTGTTGAAAGATGCAAAAAAGTTGATTGTGATTGCCTGTACAAAACAAACAAAAAAAAAGGACAAAAAAAACCAAAATAAGTGTAATTTTATTTGTATTTTCTTTTCAGAGTTATGCAATGATTATATAATTAAGAAAACTTGGAGTGTATTAGTACAATAGCTTTCGTTAGATTGTAATATGTATGTTAATAGATTGATTTGTATATAATTAAATCTAAAATGTAATAAATATATTTATCTTTATCAAGATTTTTTAATATCATCCATCCTATAGACTCTTATTGAACGACAAAGTTTCAAGATGTAATTCGCAATTAAAAGCGCATAAGTATAATTAAAAAAGTATACTTATAACTTCAAAATGTAAACCGCTAATCTCGCAAAAATATTTAACGACTTTAGTTAAACCTGAATAACTATCTCTACAATTTAGAGATGTTTATTAAGTAAAAAAAAACGTTGCGGTCTGGTTATATTCCAATATTAATAATCAAACTACGCCGATGATATTTTTATCGATAGGTGAAATTGGCTCGTACGTCGTGTAAAGAGAATTACGCGACAAACATAACGAAAGGTAGACAAGGGAAATTTTATAGACTCCTTCCTTAGACGAATGAAAACTATAAAAAGATTTTCCTGGCTCCTGGAAGAAGGCACGCTTGTAATATTCACAGATAATACAGTCTGCTCTCGTTATAACATAGTGATCGGATTGAAAAATTTTATCTATTATAAATCTATAACGTTATAAATTGTTCTGAAAAAATTTTAGATTTCTCCCTATTTCGAGGGATCTGCTATATATAAAAAATCCGGTATAACAAAGGTAGACGGTAATAGATAAACGAAATCCTTTATTAAATCCTAACGCGACATGCAATCTGCATGGTAATACTTAATAAACTTAAAAATTGCATTTCGACAAATAAACTCAAATCTTTAAATGTTCGCAACAATTAAGTAAATGAATAATTCACGCAAAACCGTTACATTTGGTATGTAGTTCATGTCATGCTTACATTGTCATAATTATCCAACTAATGAATTAAAAACAAACTAACAATTACAAACTTGTGAAATTAAAAAATCTCGCGTTTTTATTAAATTTTCATCATATATTAATTACAATAACAATGAATACACATTAAGTAAACTAGGTCAAAAAAGTATGGAAACGGTCCCTACTAGGGTGCACCAAAATTTAGAGTATACCCCAAAATTTGTATATTTAAATCTAACCTACATCTAACTAAGTCTAATTTTAATTTAAATTTATATATAAACCTAATTTAAACTAACTTAAAAACTAATTTAAATCTAATATAAATTTAATTTAAATCTAAATCTAAGCCTAACCTAATATATGCCTAAATTTAAATTTAAATCTACTTAATTTAAATTAATTATATTTATTTTGGTTTTTGATTAAATAATGATAATATTAATATTATATATATGAATCTTTTTGATTAAAAGAATTGAAATAATACCAAAATTATTAAAATTAGATTACTAGATTTTGATATTATTAAAAGAAATACTAGAGACTAAGAACTAGTATAAGTCTAGAGTATCAAAATTTCAAAGTTTAAAACAATAAATAAAAATTTAAAAATATACATAATTATATATTTATTTTAATTTTTGATTAAATAATAATATTTCAAAATCTAGTAATCTGATCTTAATTTTGAATTTTCTTAATTAGAAAATTCAAATCATATATACTAAAATTATTAAAATTGAATTATTAGATCTTGAGATACTGTTATTTAATCAACAACTAAAATAAATATTATTTAAATTAAATTTAAATTATAATTATAGATGTAGACATTTGAAGACGTAACAATTTTTAGAATACACTTTAAATTTTAGAGTAAAGAACTGTCTTTATACTTTTTTGATTTCATTTATCTTGATATCTAATAAATGCAGATGGAAAATTTTAAGAATTACAAGTATTCTTGGATGTTAAGCATTTTTGTTCAAGAAAAATCTTCCGTGTTATAACACATTCTTTCATTACTCTATATTTTTACATACTATAATTGAATTCTAAAATAAGATCAAAAATTTAATAATTGACAGTTGATGTGTGAACTTTACTAAAGAGACTAATATTTTAAATCTATTTTATTCATTATCTTTTTTGCAATTTCTTTATAACATTGCGTATTATAACTATCAGGTTTAGTTACAACTACAGGTGTACCAAAATCTGATAATTCACAAATATCAGCATCTAATGGTATATCACCTAAATAATCTAAACCCATTTCTTTAGATGTCTTTAATACTCCATTTTGACCAAATACGTGAACTTTATGCTGACAATTCGGACATACAAAAATCGACATATTTTGAACCATCCCAAGAATCTAAATAATAAATAGTTATTAATTATAAATGTTTTAATATTAAAGCTTTAATCAAAAATTTTGAAATTAATCATAAACATTACCGGAACGTTAACTTTTGCAAACATATTGGCACCTTTCCTGGCATCTACAAGAGCAATGTCTTGTGGTGTAGATACAATCACAACACCTAAAAGACATCAAAGTATATTAAATATTAAAATCAATAAACATATGAGTGCTGCCAAAGGAAAACCTGTCATCGGACTTCAATTATATTTTGTATCGTTTGACTCTAAAGCGACATCTAGAGAAAATCTGTCATCGGGTTTTCAATTATATTTTGTGACGACTCATCACAAAATATAATTGAAAACCTGATGATAAATTTTTCCCAGACGACACTTAGAGAACAAACTGGACACAAATATAATTGAAAGCCCGATGACAGGGTTTTCCTTGATAGCACTCATATGAAGTAATATGAAAGCTACCATCTAAAACAACTTGTTGACTAATGGTTAGTTGTGTGTCACCAGTTCCAGGGGGCATGTCAATTACTAATAAGTCAAGTCCACCCCATTGTACTTGATGAAGTAATTGTTGAAGTGCTTTCATCACCTAAATAAATATACATATTAATATATATATTTAAATACAGAAAATTAACACATGTCCAATAGGGTACTAATAGAATTCCAGATTTTAGTACCAATAGAATATCAATAGAGTTTCAATAAACATCAATCAAAATAATATTATTCTGATTGATGCTTTATTAACTTCTTTTGATACAAAAATCTAACAGCAATAGTCTATTGGTGCCATATTGAATATGTAATGAACTAATAGACACAATAGATACAATTACATAAAAATTGTTAAGATAAAATTATATACAGCATTTCTTTTACATAGTTTGTGTACATCAATTTTGATTGACCAATCAAATTACTCATAAAATTTACATCAATTAAACCTTTTCTAACTTTAAATGAAGATATCTCGACAACCACCTGATGAATTCAATAATTTTTTTTTATTTCAATTATACAGATCCACAGAATTAAAATAAAAAAATTTGATCGAATTTTATTGGGTGGTTGTCGAGATATTTTCGTTTAAATTTTTTTGAAAAATATCTTCTAATAGACGACAACCAACTGACGGATTTTGATGAAAATCTTTTTATTTCAATTCTGTGGATTCTGTGTATCCGTAGAATTAAAATAAAAAAATCTTCATCGAATTCTATTGGGCGATTATCGAGATATCTTCGTTTAAATTTTTGAAAAAAATATTTGCCGCATCTTCTATATAACATTTTATGAATAATTTGATTGGTCAATCCGAATTGATATACACAAGAAAAAAAAAATAAGGATTATAAATATTAAAAACTTCCCATAAGTCCTCTCCATACAACTGGCGAATCTTCACTTATAATGAAACCCATAGACATTGCTTTCACTCCATAGTTTACAAGTGGAATCAACTCTCCTTGATAAAAATTGAATTCGTTTAGGAATAAAGTGCTAAATACGGATATTAATAGTTAAAGTCAAATACCTTTTTCGTTCGTTTGAGGTTCCGCTTTTAAATTTAATAAACGAGGTATAGAAGGTCCAAATATATCTGCATCTAGGATACCAACGCGGTGACGAAAAGATGCAATTGCCAACGCAAGATTTACTGGTTTAATTTTGCAATAAAAAAAAAAAACATTATTGTACCATTATATTTAAAGAGAACGAATAGTTCAATAAAAATTGATAAGCTTTAACAAGCTACTTACTAGCCAACGTGGATTTACCAACACCACCTTTACCTGAAGCTACGGCGATTATATGCTTGACACCATGAATTGGTCTTTTGGTTGGTAAGCCACGACGCATGCGAGCTTCCATATCAATTTGTCTTTTGGTTTGAGTCTCTTTTTGAGAAGTCTCCTGTAAATGAAGAATTACCAATTTGAAAATTATTAAAGATACGACTTGTGGGAATTTGTTATATGATATTAAAAAAAAAAAAAAAAAAAGAAATAGCCACTCCACTTCATACCAACGGATTCTCATGATTAATTACTGCGCTCGTAATAAAATTTCCTCGGAATGTAAGTTTGTTCGATAGACGAATTGGACGTCTAAATGGTATAGAAAGTCTCATTTTTATTATCAATTAAAAGAATTTGTTTTGTGTGATCTGATTAATTAATTATTATATATACTGTATTATATATATATTTATTATTTATTATATATAATCGATAGTTTTATAGTTAAAATTTTCAAATCGATTAGTCAACTATATATTTAGTTGGTTTTCAACTAACGATTTGGATACCTATAACTACAGGACGGGGTCGTTTAAAGCAGGGCATTATCACGTGACATATGGCCAGCAAACTTGTTTGCTTTGATCAACACGATGAAAAAAAGAAAAACGTAAAAAATACAAGAAAACGAGTGTCTAAACCTACCTCGGGGCATTAACAAAAAATGTCGGGGAGGCATTTTACCTTAAAATTAATTTTCACTCTAACCTCCCACTAACCCTTACCCTAACTTTAATTAAAAAGTCAAAATCATATGACTGCACTACTTTAAGCATCCCTCTTATTGGGTCTTTTATTTTACACGGAACTATGTTTTTGTATGGATGTTTTTATTTACGTTGTTATACACTGCTCATTGCTTGCTGTTGCTCAATGCTACCTACGCATTGCTGCTCATTACTATTCATTGTTGCTCCTCATCGCTGCTCATTACCACTTAACTATTCATACGTGTATGTGTATACCGCTTCATTTCATCCCGTTCAGAATGATGCTCTTATTTATATCAAATTGATAATGATTTACACTATTCATTTCTTTTGATGTTTAGTCGATCTGGCTTAGAAATTGTCGATTATATGCCATCTCGTTTCTAATAGGTAGTTAACTTTATTTATTCAATCTACTTAAATTAAATAACTCGAATTAAATCAGTATATTTTTTTTTTTACCTTTTATCGGTTATGCTTATATATTTTTATGTTCTTTATTCTCTTATCTTTTGATATTTGTTTCGTTTAATCAGATAAGATCATTTTGTTGATTCGAAGATCGTTACAACCTGACCGCAAGATCTTTTTATTAATTAAATGCAAGTTGCTATAAATACAGAATATATATATTCGCTTTAACATTTTCGTCATTAAAAGTCGTGACTGAAATTGACACCCGACTGAAGTTGCAATTTCAGTGATGTTATCAGAAGGTATTGGTGAATAATTTT